GAAACAGAAAAACCAGAGATCTGTTCAATTTTATTGGAGATGTTAATTAAAGGAACATTTTATGCAAAGACGGACATGATAAAGGACAAAAATGATAGGGACTTAAACAGAAGCATAAGACATTAAGAAGAGGTGGCAAGAATACACAGAGGAATTATACCAGAAAGATCTGGATGTCCCAGACAACCCAGATAGTATGGCTACTGACCTTGAGCCAGACATCCTAGAGAGTGAAGTCAAGTGGGCCTTAGAAAGCATGGCTAACAACAAGGCCAGTGGAGGTGATGGCATTCCAGTGGAACTACTGTATATAAAATCTTAAAAGATGACGCTGTTAAGGTGCTACACACAATATGCTAGCAAGTTGGGAAAACTCAGCAGTGGCCAGAGAATTGGAAAAGATCAGTCTACATCCCAGTCCCAAAGAAGGGCAGTGCCAAAGAATGCTCCAACTACAGTACAATTGCACTCATTTTGCACGGAACCTGAATTTTGAAGGGGCAGAGGAACTAGAGACCAAATTGCTAACATGCGCTGGATTATGGAGAAAGCCAAAGGGTTCCAGAAAAACATCTACTTCTGCATCATTGACTACGCAAAAGCCTTTGATAGTGTCGACCACAACAAACTATGGCAAGTGCTTAAAGAAATGGGAGTGGCTAACCACCTTATCTATCTCCTAAGAAACCTATATGTGGGACAGGAAGCAACAGTTAGAACTGGATATGGAACAACTGATTGGTTCAAAATTGGGAAAGGAGTATGACAAGGCTGTATATTGTCCCCCTGTTTATTTAACTTATATGCAGAATACATCATGTGAAAGGCTGGACTGGATGAATCCCAAACCAGAATTAAGATTGCTGGAAGAAATATCAATAACCTCTGATATGCAGATGACACCACTCTGATGGCAGAAAGTGAGGAGGAGTTTAATTACCAAAATTCTTCTCCACTAGCTGTGCTTGCCAGGGTTTCTGGGAGCTGTAGTCCAAGAACACCTAGGTTACCCAAGGTTAGGGACCTTACCTAGAGTATTTCCTAATCATGTGTGATCCATGCAGTTGAACAGCCTATCAGACAGAAACACATTGTTCCTTTCAATCTATTAGAGAAAGACATCATTGCGGGGGCGGGGGGATTTTCTCTTTATGGGGAAAAATTCTCTTTCATATTTGCATCTTTTCACGTACCTGATCTTTTGGTAAACTTGTTTAATTTGTTTAATTTTGATTATCTTGACTTGGGTCTCTGGCACTGGACCAAGTTAAGCCCTATAGAACTCTCAAAAGTAATCTAAAAAATCAGGAGCAAAGCAACAGATAATTATCTACTCCATATGCAGGCAAGGGAGCAACAGTACCTGAGAAACAAGATCAAGGCTATTTGCATCATGTAACATCCTAGCCAGCATTATCATCAGGGAACAGTACAGATGAGCAAGATAAGCATCATCAGATTAATCAGATCTCATTCATCCTCACAATTTACCAGACCTATGAATGAGGAAATTCAATTGAAAGATGATAGTTTTATTACCATCTCTTTTGGAATCCAGAATCTATTATATTTCAGAAGCCCTATCATAAAGACATGGAAGGCTCCAAAAGTCCCATTCATTTCTAATGACTAACTTTAAGTCAGAGAAAGAGTGTCCTAGAAGACTGGTGTATTTTCCTATTGATTTCTGAATATTACTGTTTCTAGTGTCTGATTTGTGTCTATTTATTCTTTTGAATACAGATTGTCCTACACAGAATGCACTGACACAATGCTGGGAAAAATGGCATATATCCCATTGGAAGATGACCAAGTAAGTTATGAACCCCTGATGTTATTTTATCCTTTGATACTATTTCCGGTATAGACAAGAGGGCAGAATTGGCATTTGGGTCTGCCATTGGGTCCAGTTTTTTTTATATTACAAGGACTTTTGTTTTTAATGATCAATCGTTTTAAGTTAAGTAGCTGTACTCAAGTACAGGCCTCCAACCCAGAACCCAGGTGGGAGGAATTTCATCATCCAGGATAGGCTGTGGATCCTCCTTAATATATTTTAGCTGAAAAGTGTAGATAACAAACAAGTAACATTCTGTTAAAGATGGTTCTCGGCTATTAATATAGCCCTGCTGAACTGTCTACTCACTTTTGAGGTAGTTATTGCATCTGAAAAAATTTTTATTTACATTCTGGAGAATCTCCATCTGAACAGTCAAAACAGATTTGATTATGTCATATGACTTGGCTGTATCAACTTATTTTGTAATACTGTATCTTTTGGGTAGAAGCTGGAAGCACAGAAATATGTGTAGCTCACTTAGTTTCTAATGTAAGGTACTATTTATCCATCCATTATTATAGTGACACATTAGGACCTCAAAGCAAACATGGGGTGAAATTTGGTTTAAACTAAGGTTGATGGTTTGTATAGAACAATTGAAACTATGATGATACTTCAGTGCTTATTTCCATGGTTCCAGATACTTTCAATAAACCCATATTTACATGTTGTGTTTATATCTATAGACTAAACTCATACCTTATATTTAGTTTAGAGAAAGAATTTTTGGCATTATATATGTCCTAATAAGCTCATTGTTGCTTGGGTGTCCTTTCACCACCAGAGAAAACTGAAAGACTCATAATGGCCACCCTTACGATAATCAAAGTCTTGAACTTTTTGTACTGTAGTTTTATCACGTTTGTCACACACCCTCACTGTTCTATTTCTGTGGCTTCACTCCATGAATGCAATGAAGCAAACCACAATCCATGAAAGCTAAAGTGCTGCAAGACTCTTTGTTATATCTAATGTAACAGATTCATATGGTAACAATCTCAAAATAAGTGCAGATGATTAAGTAATTCAAACAAGTAATCTCCCACCTTAACAATATGGTTCCTTTAAAAAATAATTCTCAGTTGTAAAACTGCCTTTAGTATTTATAGTGCTTTCCCTGAAGTTCTGAAGTGCCCACAAATATTTCCCCAGTAATTTTTACAGTGCCACTTGCAGAGCAGGCAAATGATGTTTCTTTCATATTACAGATGACGGAATTGGAGGCTTAAGCACAGTAGCCGTCACACAGAAATACTGCAGAGATCTGAACTGCTAATCTACCATGCAACACATGATATTTAACTGTTGGTTTAAGTACACTAGGGTCATTAAATCAATGGGGCTGACATAAATCCAGCAATTGATTTGGTGAGTCAACTCTAAGTTTGACTAACTATTCAGTTTAGGCCATAATCCAAACTGTCTACTCCATTTGTCGGTTGTGAGGTAACACATTGGTTGTTTGCCCCTGCTTCTATCTGCATCATGTCCCCAACTGCATGTCTCTTCTTACAACAGCTGATTAAGATAATGCAACGGATACCAAAGAATTGAGCTACATTTCTGTGTTAGTACCAATATGAGCTAGTCACACAGCAGACTGTACAATTATACTAGCCAAGTAATAATCACATGCTGGTAAATTAAGAAGCATCATACTAGGTAATTTGCTTTATTATTCAAATACTTTGCACATGTTAAGTGCTATGCCCTAAGTGATGAACTCAATTGTTTGGGCTTGGGGAAGGGAAATCTAACTGAAGTGAACAAAGAAACACCTGTGTGAGGCTCCCAAAGTGGAAGCCATGAAACAAAGAAACACCTGAAAATGACCATTATAGACAGGGACAAATAAAGTGTAGGCCAATTCTTTTATATCAGTTCACTCCCCTGGCCTCATGTCTATGCAGCTGGATTCTCACAGCAGTCTAGCTCTGCTCTTATCTAAATTCAGGCTTTCTCTTTTTTTCAGAAAGAGACAAGAGACCTCTACATTTTAGCACTGGAACAAAGTATTTTATAAGATACAGTAATATAATCTCTTTGTTCTGAAGTTATCAAGTGTCTGTTGAAAAGCTATAAATAGAGATCTTTCAGTAGGCTAAGGAATATCCTTAACATATGAACCTATGAGAGCAGAAACTTTTTTTTCTACACAGAAGTCCATTTGCGTTTCCACAACAGATTTGACAGTGCAAACTGCAAACCTATAATGTAGACAAGACATTCTCTTGCAAGGCCAGAATAATAATTTAGTTCAGCAGTCTTCAATCTCTTTTTCAGACACTTATCTCACATTTAAAAACACCCTATAACACTGAGCCCAGCTGGCTGGATAGCTCAGTGGTTTAGGTTTCTGGCTGTGGAGCCAGATGTTGGGAATTCAATTCCCCCACTGTGCTCCTGTGAGTACAGCCAACCTGTGTGGCCTTGGGCAAGCTGAAATCCCCAAAGTGCCCCCAGAAGAAGGGAACGGGAAGCCACTTCTGAGTATTCTGTACTTGGAAAACCCTGAAAGGGGTCACCATAACTCAGAACTGGCTTGAAGGCACATGATTATTATTGTTAATGATGAGCCCACGTTAACATGTAACATGATTGTTTTTAATCATATACATTCCTATTTTGTGTTCTCTTTCATTCTATTTTTCTCTTCCTGTCACTATCATGTTTCCATGTAGGCAATATGTGATGTCTCTTTAGTATTCTTGTAAAGGTAAAGGTAAAGGTTCCCCTTGACATTTAGTCCAGCTGCGTCCAACTCAAGGGCACGGTGCTCATCCCCATTTTCAAGCCATAGAGCCAGCGTTTGTCCAAAGACAGTTTCCGTGTTCACGTGGCCAGTGCAACTAGACATGGAATACCGTTACCTTCCCATCAAGGTGGTACCTATTTATCTACTTGTATTTTTATATTTTTTCAAAGTGCTAGGTTGGCAGGAGCTGGGACAAGCGACGGAAGCTCACTCTGTCACGTGGATTCAATCTTATGACTGCTGGTCTTCTGACCTTGCAGCACAGAGGCTTCTGCGGTTTAACCCGCAGTGCCACCAGGTCCCTTATTCTTGTAAAACTATTTGTCAAACTAGCAATGCAAGCAAGAAAGACAGAAAAGTGTACCTATGCTTTCAAATTGTTGTATTTAAATAGATACAGTGGAAATATACAAAGACACACAAGTTCAGACATAACAATAATAAGGATCTTTTTTCATTACTTCAACAATAACTGCAAAAAGAACCGAAAAGCCACACCCAAGTGAGTAGGAATGAATACATAAGCTGTGAACACCAACATAGAAACAACAGTGGCAATGATAACATGCGCTGTCATTTGTTCCCAGGGCTCTAACTCAGTGCAGCAGGTGATCATCATGTATTGAAAATAAAGCCAGTAGACAGAATCCTTCAGACGCTTCATGGTTGTCACTGATGCTGGTTGTTGCTTCTGGAAAGTTGTCCTATTAAATCAACAAAGCATGGAAGATTTAGCTTGAACTCTGACTGAAGGGACTGACATGATAAAATGTTCTTGGAGCACAACTCATCTGCCAACCATGTACTGTGTGCATTTGTTTATATGTGGGATTGTCTTCAAATTAGCATGTAAGTTGCTGGGGTTTTGATGAGGAAGATGGGGTGCTGGATGGAGGCTTGATGTTATTTCAGGGGATTGTACAATGATTGTCAACTGCCTGTAATAAATAAAGTTGTCAAAGGACAATTCTAAAATAGAGAACCTCAGGGTAACCACCTGACAAAAATTAAAGATAAAAGGAAAAGAGAGAAAAGGAAAGAACAAAATGTTGTGGCATACTAAAAAGTAAAAGATTTTTTCAGTGTAAACGTTTGTCAATCAGAATCTACCAGGATGTTTGTGATCTATAAAAGGTCATACTGGAACAAATCAGCCATTCTTCAGTGTGCCACAACATTTTGTCCTTTGGTGGTTTTTAACTCCCTCTTTTTTAATTTTTTTCCTTTACTTTTGTCAGCTTACTGAGACTAACATGGCTGCCTCTTTGAAAACAAATGATCATAGCCTGTTCTCCAAAAACCTGGTCCTGTTTGTTAGAACAATGTTGCTGCCAAACAGAGTGGTGGAGATATGATGGGGAAGAGAAGGATAAAAGCTTTAGAACAGCCACTTTTAATTCTGAAAGCCACTTGTTTCTCCCATACGTTCATAGCATTCCCCACAGTATCTGGTATCCTGCTATAGTGACCAACAGTCTCTATGGGTGAAGAATGGTCTGTACAAGTATTTATTAAATTTTTCAGACTCTATGTCCTCACTTGGAACAGAATTTTGGATTTTAAAAACTTCCAGACCCAGAATTTGTCTAGAATCACCGGGGCAGAATTCTGGAACTTGGAGAGTTAAAACCAGGAGGAGAAGAGATGTATTTCTATGTACTTCCATGTTATGCTTCTCTCCATGTGTATCAGCGGTGGAGCAGACACTCATGCTCTCTCTGTCATACTGCTTGTTGAGAATCACTCCAGTGTTTTATGGGAAAGGTAGATCAGTGAGAAACTTTCTCATAGAGTTTAATGGCTAGTTAAACTAGCTACCCATTGACCACTGGGGCAATTCCCAGGAAGCACTGAAACAGAGGGGGCATTCTCTTCTGCTTCCCAGTAGATAATAATGGAGTAAAACTAAAAATGGAGATAGAAAGATATTTTTTTGCTTTCTGGATTCTCCTCTCACAGTTACAGAAGTCTGCCTAGGGGATTCTAGGGGATTTCTTAGTTAGAAGTCCTTGAAATCTGAAAAACCAATCCCTTGTCCTTACTATGTCTCTCTGTACAGAGCAGTAGTGAAAACTCCTTGCTAAAAAGTATGGTCAGTTGCAGAGCACTAACTGCATGCCAAAGGTGACAAAGAATCATCATTCCTGTCATTTGCATGAGTTTCAGGGAGCAGAAAAGAGAAAGATCCATGCCTGGGACTCTGGAGAGCTTCTGACCCTCAAAACAGACAAGAACAAACTAGCACTGGGCCAATGCTGTAACTCAGTTTATGGATATCTGGTATCTATGTTAACTGAGAATGTGTGTATATCTTGTACCAATGACAAGGAAGTCTCTGTTGTGGGTTTTGAGACATGGAAGCCGGAGAAGAGACTTGGAACTTGGGAAAGCCAATAAGAAATGTGCCATCTACTATCATAGATTTTTTAAAATCTATCAGCATTTTATAACAATGTAGAGTGGCTGTTATAGACAGAAAAGGGATTGTTACCCTATTTCAGGTATTATTGTAGATTAGAGGAATTACAGATTCAGCATTAATGGCAAAATCCATGGGAAGGAAAAAGCCGCGCAGGAGTCAAAGGTTTCTTATAAGGGCTGGCATTTCTGGAGTCATATTGAACATGGCTGTTTGAGGCATTGGCAATGCCAGACAAAGAAGTTTTGCATCACAGAGATGTTGAAATAATTTTTCCATAGCCATGTCATCATCCCACCAGGACTATCAGTTTGATATCAGACACTCTAATTTTATGGCCGTTTGTGACTCCATGACAAAATCTCACCCAGAATATTACCCCCACTGATATTAATTTCCCAGCATCCAACTGTAATCTAAAATACTGTAGCAGAAACACAGAGAAGTATTATTGCACACATACCCCTAGTAATCTTACTTGAGATTGATTATTAAAAGCCATCTGTTTTTCTGTAATAAAAAAGAAATCCAGTTTATCCATCTGAAAGAGAAGCAGGGAGCCAGTCCAAATATTCTTGGTCTCCATCTCTCATCAGCTGCAGACAGCATGGTTGATGATCAGGGATGATGATAGTTGAAATTTAGCTCACATCTGGAGATTACCCACTCCTGCTCTGTGTTGTTCTTGTTATAGGAAGTTATGTATAGTAACATATGAAATACGCTTACAGCTTGTCTTTCATGGAGTGCTTAACAGCTGTTTATTCAGCAATGACAAAACTGTGAGCAGAATGTTCTAATCTTACAGTAGTTTGATATTCTTTAATATCCTCCAAGTAGCAAGGAGGATTTTCCCACACATTGGGTACAGATGTGTGTAAGGTGTGTGCGATTTTAACTACAGGTGGAGCCATTGTGGAAACCAGAGATTGCCTGCATTAATTCCAGTGGGGCTTGTGCAAGGAGATATCTTATCCCTCTCCTTGCATGAAGTCTGGAAAAGCTCCACATCACATGCATTGAAGCTCTGTGTGCATGAGAGAAGTCAGGAGGATCCTCTCTTATGTGGAACATTTACATGTGCTAAAATGTATATATGTACATGATGAAAAGTTGGTAAGAATGCACTCTATTTTTGCTTTCGTCAAGCAAGGAGCTTTTTCAAGTTCCTTCCTTGACAAACCAGTAAAAACCTGTATGGCAGAAAACTAATCCCAAAGAGCAGATATTGGAGGCCTCAAGTATTTTTTTTAATGAAGCTCTGGATTTAAATTCTCAAGTCAAAAGCTAGCAGAAGTTCTGAAGTGTGTGGGAATTGTTTCCATTCTTTATACAAGACCATTCCTGATGATGGAGCTTCTGTATAGAGCTTCTCCATCTTCTGTACAGAGCTTCTCCTTCTTCGCCAAAGATGGAGAAGGTCTATAGAGGCAGCAAAAACCTGGAGCTGATCGTGGCTCTGATCATCTATAGAGGCAGCAAAAATCTGGAGTTGATCGTGGCTCTGATCATCAGCTTCTTATAGCAAAACCCAAGCTTGAACTGAAGAAAGTAGGAAAAACCATTGAGCTAGTCAGGTTTAATCTGACTACAGCAGAAATGAAGAACAGCTTTAAGGAACTAGATTTGATGGACAGAGTGCCTGAAGAACTTTGGATAGAAGCTCGTAACATTGTACAGGAGGCTGCAACAAAAACCATGCCAAAGAAAAGGAAATGCAAGAAAGCAAAGTGGCTGTCCAGTGAGGCCTTACAAATAGCAGAAAAGAGAAGGGAAACAAAATGTAGGGGAGATAGGGAAAGTTACAGAAAATTGAATGCAGACTTCCAAAGAATAGCAAGGAGAGACTAGAGGGCCTTCTTAAATGAACAATGCAAAGAAATAGAGGAAAATAATAGAAAAGGAAAAACCAGAGATCTGTCCCAGAAAATTGGAAATATTAAAAGAACATTTTGTGTGAAGATGGACATGATAAAAGACAAAAAAATGGTAGGGACTGAACAGAAGCAGAAGACATCAAGAAGAGGTGGCAAGAATACACAGAGGAATTATACCAGAAAGATTTGGATATCCCAGACAACCCAGATAGTGTGGTTGCTGACCCTGAGCCAGACATACTGGAGAGTGAAGTCAAGTGGGCCTTAGAAAGCATGGCTAACAACAAGGCCAGTGGAGGTGATGGCATTCCAGTGGAACTATATAAAATCTTCAAAGATGACGGTGTTAAGGTGCTACACTCAATATGCCAGCAAGTTGGGAAAACTCAGCAGGGGCCAGGGGATTGGAAAAGATTGGTCTACATCCCAGTCCCAAAGAAGGGCAGTGCCAAAGAATGCTTCAATTACTGTACAATTGCACTCATTTCGCATGCTAGCAAGGTTATGCTCAAAATCCTACAAGGAACTAGAGACCAAATTGCTAACATGCACTGGATTATGGGGAAAGCTATAGATTTCCACAAAAACATCTACTTCTGCTTCATTGACTATGCAAACTTTGGCTGTGTGGACCACAACAAACTATGGCAAGTCCTTAAAGAAATGGGAGTGCCTGACCACCTTATCTTTCTCTTGAGAAATCTATATGTTGGACAGGAAGCAAGAGTTAGAACTGGATATGGAACAACTGATTGGTTCAAAATTGGGAAAGGAGTACGACAAGGCTATATATTGTCTCCCTGTTTATTTAACTTATACGTAGAATACATCATGTGAAAGGCTGGACTGGATGAATTCCAAACCAGAATTAAGATTGCCGGAAGAAATATCAGCAACCTCAGATACACAGCTGACATCACTCGGATGGCAGAAAGTGAGGAGGAATTAAAGAACCTCTTAATGAGGATGAAAGAGGAGAGTGCAAAAATGGTCTGAAGCTCAACATCAAAAACCTAAGATCATGGCCACTGGTCCCATCACCTCCTGGCAAATTAGGGGAAGATATGGAGGCAATGACAGATTTTACTTTATTGGGCTCCCTGATCACTGCAAATGGTGACAGCAGCCACAAAATTAAAAGATGCCTGCTTCTTGGGAGGAAAGCGATGACAAACCTAAACAGCGTATGGAAGTGAGAGCTCGTCTACCTTGCCGACAAAGGTCCACATGGTTAAAGCTATGGTTTTTCCAGTAGCAATGTATGGAAGTGAGAGCTGGACCATAAAGAAGATTGACCGCCAAAGAATTGATGTTTTTTAATTGTGGTGCTGGAGGAGGCTCTTGAGAGTCCCCTGGGCTGCAAGGAGAACAAACCTATCCATTCTGAAGAAATTAACTCCGGGTGAATAAGGTCAAATATTACCTGTATCCTCGGGTGACATCTTGAAGGTTAATCATTCTTGCCACACCTAGAAAACAATGCAGAAATATAGCCAGGAAAGTAAAAAGACAGAAAGTGTTGCAATAAAGTAATAAACTACCTACTGTAAGTTGATCAGCAGAAATGCTAAAGAAGTTAATGAATATTAATAGCTCCCCTGTAACTATATTAATCAACAAAATACAAGTTAGAGAAACAAGTGCAGTGATTATACAGAGTGCAGCAATTTACCAACAGTTTAGTTTCATTGACCATTAGTAACGTGTATAGCTTTCCCTTTTGTGATCTCATGAGAGTGAATGAATGCTTGCTTTGCTGAGGACAGTCCTCTCTTTGAAGGCATCCTTTATTTGAAGGACAGACTAGTCCACTTGATTAATCACAAAGGGGAGAACAAAGGTTTAGAAGTTGTCCAGTGCCCATCTATTGCTTTCACACACAGAGCAGACTGAGTAGACACACAGGGCATCTGGCAGTATGATGAGATGTACTGTGGTTCTATCGAACTGGTACAGTACTGCTTTTCATAAATGTATATATTTTTAAATAAATTAGCAATTGCAAGCATTCTATAAATCTGTTTCCCCTTTTGTCCTGCTCTTTTGGCAATGTTCATAACCTAGCTCTTCCACAGCTGTTATAAATGTTTAAATACCAAAACCGAATGGGAGCACTATTTATGTTCACACTGGATTTCAACTCCTGTGCAAGCCTTTTGAGGTGTACACCCACACTGTTTTCATTAGGAAAGGTCCATGCTTGGTGCGTGGATGTCAGAGGTGGCATAAGGAAACAGAGGCATCTCGTGCCTACACACATAAAGTAGGATTTCCCTGTGTTGATAGGTACTCACATACCATTGATACCCATGATACCTTGATGGCAATGCCAGAGTGCAGTCCTTTTCCTTGAACTCTCTTTATGTGCCAGAAGCTCAACTTGTTTAAGTAAGTAAACTGCCAAAGATTACTGAAGGACCCAAGCCATATATCAAGTGACAGGGTTCCCCCCCCCCCACTACATTCACCAGATCTCATTCCAGTTAGAATGGTAGTTGGCTAAATAAAAAGTGTACTCTAGCCATACAGATTTCCTCCCTTCAACCATTACAAAAAATTTGGGGCTCAGTACTTCTGTTTCTCTATAGTCCACAGATATTGCCCATCTCTGCTATAGACCCTGGGAAGAAAACTTGCCTCCCAGGTCTACCAGCAGTTTCAAAGTGGGAAGGATTTTCATCAGGACTTCCCAGTGAGCAGCCCTAATTCTGGTTTCTCCCTTCATATGTATGTATGTATGTATGTATGTATGTATGTATGTATGTATGTATGTATGTATGTATGTATGTATGTATGTATGTATGTGATTTTCATCAGGAGTTCCCAGTGAGCAGCCCTAATTCTAGTTTCTCCCTTCATATGTATGTGTGTATGTGTGTATGTGTGTATGTGTGTTATGTATGTATGTATGTATGTATGTATGTATGTATGTATGTATGTATGTGCGAGCGTGCGTGCGTGCGTGCGTGCGTGCGTGCGTGCGTGCGTGCGTGCATGTAAAAATAAATAATAAATTGCATATGACTGTTTACACACAAGTAACATCCCACCTTGATTGGTGCTTACCAGGCCAATCATTATGGTTGCTGGTGTTTGGTAACAAATGTTGAAAGCCTCCCCTGTCTTTTATATGTTGTGTCCAAGAGCCAAAATTACCATTGGTTTAAAATCATCATTATAGCATAGGCATCCTTCAGTCTCGAGAGACTATGGTAACATGCTCTGAATCGAGGAGTGTCCTCTCCAGAGCATGAAGCCCGGGTAAGGTAATATGGAGGATAGGCTGTTACCCAAGCAGCAGAACCCCCCTCCCCACATTGCTGAAATGGTCCAATGGAAAGGCAGGTTCCAGCAATGTCGCAGGAGTTGGCAGAACGACACATGCTGCCTTCGGGACTCCAGCTCCCGAAGGAGCTACATACAATCATCATTATAAGTAAAAGAGAAAAGGAGGAATCTCTGAGGAAAGTAAATGCTTCCCTTTCCCACTGCAGTCTAAAGAATATCAGGCACCAGCATATTTTAGGCAACTTCAGATAACATAATATTCAAAAGCAACTAATGTGGTTTTTCTCACAAAACTTGTTCCCCAAGCTCAGCCATGAAGTGAATGTGGCTTATTTTAACTGATAGTACTGTGCACCCTTTTACAGTACTGTAGTTCATGTTGCTCAAATAATGTTACATTTGTATGCATGCTGAGATGTTTGGGCCCCACTAGATTGTAAAATAAGGGCCATTGTTTAGTCAATTGAAGGCAGCTTCACATTACCCTGTTTATTTTCCAAACCCCCAAAATTAAAAAGGTTGTAGGTGTTTCTTGATTTCCCCATTTCAAAACAAAACAAAAGCAAATGTCCATGGTCCTTGGCTAGCACAAAAACCCCTCCACCATTTCCTGAAATTTAGAAATTTTCCTCTGCTCAGGTAGAGTTACAGTATGCTTATAAATTTTATACAGTTCTGCCAAGATTGAAAGCAAAAACAAATAGGCCACTGTTGATATTTCCATTGGGATCATAAAGAAGTCCCTTTAGATTTTGGACGACCAAATGAGCCCAAACCTTAGATGTAAATCAGGCTGAAATGGCATATTCCAAAATGCTTTGCTTCTGCTGGTTTTGTGCAGCCCTGCTGATAATAACACAACCAAGGCAGTGCTCTGTGATTGCAAGCACATCACATTTCAAGAACAGACACTCCCACCATGCCTCTAAGCTGCCTTGTGAAGACTGTCATCACCAGTCTGACAGATGCACCACCAAGAAGTTCTCTAATCCTTCATTTGAAATCAAAAATATATCTGATGGGAGTTATTTTCCATAAGATGTTGTAACTTCATTATGGAAATATTAAGACAAGATTTGTGATCCTAAAGAATTAGGCTCCCATGGTGTCATATAAAATGTGTCCTTATATCTTTAATGTTAACTAAATGGCCTACATGTTAGGGCTACATTCTATATTTCTGTAGCCAGAATTCTTTCAGGAAAAACTGCACAAAAACATTTGTAATCCCCCCCACCCATTTTTTTTCTTTATTTTCTTTTTTTAAATATGCACCATGGTCTGATTTCATAGAATCATAGAATAACTGAGTTGGAAGTGGCCTGTAAGGCCTCCAAGACCACCCCCTGCTCAACGCAGGAATCCAAATCAAAGCAGTTCTGACAGATAGTTGTCCAATTTTCTGTTGAATGCCTCCAGCATTGGAGCACTCACTACCTCCCAAGGTAATTGGCTTCATTGTTGTACTGCTCTAACAGTTAAGGCGTTTTTCCTGATATTCAGACTAAATCTGTCATCCTGTAGCTCAACGCCATTTCTACATGTCCTGCACTCTGGGATGATCGAGAACAGATCGTGCCCCTCCTCTGTATGACTACCTTTCAAGTACTTGAAAGTACTACTTCATCTGTAATGATACTTTAAAATCTCAGTTATATACTTAAATGGTGGTAAAAGCATAACTTCATAGTCATACAATGCTCTTGTAACAAACTGCAAAAAAAAAAAAAATACAAGCAGACAGATTTCAAGAAGTCAACTTAATCAGCATGCCAAACACTTGGTATGTACAATTTTCCCTCTTAGCCAACACAATTCAAGTCCAAATTCAAATGTCAGCATCCTGTTAAGGAAATGTGGGGCATATCATCCCATAGGTGCAACACCTAATGGGTGTGGGGTCTGTAATGTCCACTTTGCAAATGAGCTATCTGGAGATTGCTGAAAGCAACAGGCTTCCATGTGGGCAAGAGGGTAGTGAAGTACCCCATGTGAAAATACTGGGGAAAATATAATTGTACTGTATGCACAACAGGTCACTGAATGTGCAATAAAAGCTGAGGGAATTCTGCCCAAATTGCTGACCTGTGACTTCAGGATTTGGAGAAGTGCCTCTCACTAAATATAGCTCTGCTAGTACTGATGGTCCCTCTTCTGCTTCTCACCAAGAAGAAGAGTAGTGATCCAGTAACATGGAAATGTACAAGAGAGCCTTCTCTGCAGATTGTGAAAAGGGTGCTTGAGTTGTACCCGTAGGACTGACTGGCACAGAAACTGAATTAATTTCAGTGCCAGGCTAAAATATTTTGAATACTTTGCCACTTTGAATACTTTGGATTGAGTAAGTTATAGTCTGCTCTGTTAAGTTTCCAAGTGATTCTAAATTGCTTATATTGTTTTATATGTTTCATACACTATTGTAAATGGTTGCCATTGTTCTCGGACTGATCTAAACTATTTTTGTTATAGTCAAAAACAAACAATAGACAATAATAAAAATAGAAGAAAAAATATTTTGGCACCTTAAAGCCTAACTGTTATATCTGAATGTGAGCTTTCATGGATGAAATTCACTTCATCAGATATAAGAGTGAATTACACATGACATCAAAATACAGAGATTGTGGTTGGCTGATAAGAAAATCAAATGTTTTTTGGTTGTATTCTGTCTGAGGTGTTATGATATAAGGCAGGATATAACTATGATCGATAGTTCTCCATCCTTATAGCTGTGCTGTACTTATGGGGACAATGGTACAATAAATCCACAAGGCTGACATGGTCATCCCTTAATTTTAGCTAAACCATAGACTCTCATCACAACCTTCTAAAATCAAAAGTAAGGTAGCCCTTCAGCCCCCACAATTCAAGTACTGCCCAAGTGAAGACAGACAACAGAGTTACACCTAGCTGGCAAATGCAAACTGATCTATAATGGAAACTATACAAGAGGGGTGAAAGGAACACTGAAACCGGGGGGGGGGGAATATTCTGTCTACTTGGTGCTGATAAAAGACTGACACAGATTTCGCTAAGCCTTGGATAACCATTCTTACCACCTTCAAACAATCCCTCCAATAAATAAGAAACGAAACTGTAATACTACACAAATGATATACTTACTTTGCTGTGCACCTACATAGCTTCTTTCCTTTTTTTTCTCAAGAAAACCCAGCTACAACTGTTAAGCAAAAACATTCTCCTTCACTTTTCCAGACCAAAAGGGAATAATTGCTTCTCAAAGTACAATTCAAAGGGGGAGTAGGGGGAGAGAAGAGAAGAAGAGAAAACACCCCTCACCTTTATATGAATCCAGATGAGATTCCTCCTGATGCACTTTGACAGCTATCCCATTAAAAACTGAGGATGAGTGTCATTCAGTTTCTTTCCTAACCTCAGTGCTGCAACTGTTCCACACGCCTATCTATCCACCCACAGGAAGGCCAGCTAAATCTCAGTTGCAGCTTTGCATACGGAACTTCATCAGATTGTTCTATGACTCGACCCACTTGGAGGTACATCTCTGTACACATAGCCATAGTTTCACAAGTCATAATTTCACAAGCTGTTTGGAAGCCTCGGTTGGTAAAGTAGTACTTTCTGGGAAAAGGTGTGAACTGGATTACAGCTATAGTTCCAGAGCAAAGAAGGGTAGAATTAGAGAGGGTAAGGATGTGATTGTAGATAAACTTTCTTAAAAATAAGTTTCACTGGAATGATTTTTTTTTCCAAAATAAGTATTTTAGGGTGAGAATATGCTTCATTTTTCAAATAAAGAACACAGAGCAATGGAGCTATATTCAGATGCTATGTCTTCATGATAATAGACTAGTGAGCTACACATTCTGTCCTATTCTAGCCCTGGTTGGGGCTAACACTGAATTTAGCTCACAGACAACTAACTAGCTATAATAATTTCTAATACATTGAACATTATTCGGAGTTTGGAATTTTCTCATATGAGTTTGAGCCTCCAGGACTGCCAGTGATTTCACTCTTTCAGCTTCTGTGGCTTTAGCAGTCAGACACAGAAATTAAACAGGTACAACAATTGCTAACATGGAGATAAGATATTTTTAAAATCATTTTGTTTAATTTATTGCTGTTAAGGCAGAGGAGAAGGAGGACTAATTAAACAAAAGTTGACTTGGCAGCTGTATTTCTTCCATTCTGTACATTCTTCCTAACAAACAAGGCTAAAAGCTACTGTAAATAATAAATTATTTCAATATTTTAAAAGCATAAAGAGATATATTAAAACTCATAGTAAAAAGCAATATAAAAACACAAGTGAAGCATAGAATAACATTACCCCTTTAAAAATCCCTTTGGCCAACCAATCATTTAGAGGAAAGCCTGCCTGAAGGGAGAGGTCTTTGTCCTTTGCAAAAGGACAACAAAGATGGGGCCAGCTTGGCCTCCTGTGGGAGGGAGTTCCAGAGTCTGGGAGCAGTGACCCAGAAGGCTCTCTCGTGTGTCCCCACCAAGCATGCCTGTGAGGGTGATGCGACCAAGAGAAAGGCTTCTCCTGATGACCTTAATATTTCAAAATGAGGTGGGAATCTTGTTTTATGCTGAGGTTCACATACCTGTGAGGGCCAAACTGAAAAGTGAGTATGGTCACACACACTTTCTTTTGCTAGCACGGAGAGAAATCAGAACATTCTGCCAGAGGTCTGGACTAATTGACTGCTGGCACCTACGTGGAATGCTAAACTTTGGCACTGTGGCTTGCCCACCCTAGTTTAGAGAGCCAATGAGAAAGCAAGGGAAAGAAGATTGGTGCAGGGAAGACAGAGAGAAATGGGAATGAGAAAATAAAA